GTGCAGCGGTTAGCGCCACGCTGCGCCACGAAGCCGGCGACCCGGGTTCGATTCCCGCTCACGGCCAGCACCGGTGGAAATTATCCCGGGCCTCCCCTAGGTCGACTCAGCCTCAAGCGGAGTACCTGGCGCGGTGTGTGGTAAACATCGCCACCGGGGGAGACAAAGGCGGTCTGGCGTGGTGGTGCTGGCTGGCTTACGCAGCCCCCCTGGGTTGGAGTCCTGACCCAGTCTCTCCGTCCTTATTCTTTGACCCTAGGTCGACTTGGACTAAAATTAGGAGCACCCCTTCACATGAGGTGCAGGGTGGGGGGCAGGTTGTGTGTCACGGCATTTGGAAGCGACGTGTGGCCTGGAACCCGGCGGCCCGAGTTCGACTCCCGCTCACGGCCGACGTGAGTGGCTTGGCCTCCCCCTAGGCCGACTCGGCCCTTAAGTGAGTTACCTGCTGGGGGTGAGTGTGTAAACATCATCGCTTGGTGAGGGTGAGGGAGGTAAAGGCAGCCGTCGTGCGTTTGTTTTGACCACCGCGCCACCCACGCGCTCACCCACTCGCTCACCCACACACTCACCCACACGCTCACCCACATGCTCACCCACACGCTCATCCACACACGCTCACCCACACGCTCATCCACTCGCTCACCCACACACTCACCCACACATCCACACACTCATACACGCATACACCCACACACTCACCCACATGCTCACCCACACATTCACCCACACACTCACTCTCACCCACACACTCACCCACACTCTCATCCACACTCTCATCCACACACTCACCCACACACACACATCCACCCACACACATACACATCCACCCAGACACTCGCACACACGGATGGCCCACACTCTCAGCCAGATAACCCACCCACCCGTTCACTTACACACCCGCACGTTCACTTACACACCCACCCGTTCACTTACACAACCACACGTTCACTTACACACCCACCGTTCACTTACACACCCACCGTTCACTTACACACCCGTTCACTCACCCACCCGTTCACTCACCCACATGTTCACTTATACACCCACAGGTTCACTTACACCCCCCCCCACAACTCACGCGGTCATCGTCGCGCGCGGCGCCTTCAGTACGAGCTGCTCCTGCGGCCGTCTGGAAAGCTCTCTTCATCTTCCGATATTAGGAAGTCACTGGGAGCGATGGTGCCCTTGAAAATCGTCATCATCGAGATTGACCAACTCGTTTCTTTAGAACTGCGTTGTGTTTAGTTTGGTGTCTATCCACCGCCACCTCCAATTAGCGCGGTTGGCTACGTATGGTGCGAAAGAAGTTTAACGTACATACTTACACACAGACTCACATAGTCACTCACCCACTCACACAGTCACTCACCCACTCACACACTCACCCACTCAGTCACTCACCCACTCACACAGTCACTCACCCACTCACACACTCACCCACTCAGTCACTCACCCACTCACACAGTCACTCACCCACTCAGTCACTCACCCAGGCACTCACTCACACAGTTACTCACCCACTCAGTCACTCACGCACTCAGTCACTCACCCACATAGTCACTCACCCACTCAGTCACTCACCCACTCACACAGTCACTCACCCACTCACCCAGGCACTCACCCACCCACTCCCACAGTCACTCACCCACTCAGTCACTCACCCACATAGTCGCTCACCCACTCACAGAGTCACCCACTCACACAGTCACTCACCCACTCACAGAGTCACACACTCACATAGTCACTCACCCACTCACATAGTCACTCACCCACTCACAGAGTCACTCACCCACTCACAGTCACCCACTCACATAGTCACTCACATAGCCACCCACCCTCCGATCAGCATGGCTAGCTCCGTACGGTGCGAAAGAAGGTTCAGCGCGTACATTGCCATGGGTATAGCGCCAGACGCGTCGTAGTCAACAATCGTGGTTCCCATCGCTCCTGTGCGGCCAGTAGCGGTAGAATCACACGAACTAGCCCCTTGCCGTGTGTCCAGTTCGGTCCGAACAGGGAACACGATGCGAGTGGCGAGCGGACTGAGTTGGCGAGTCACTCCGTGTGTGTCTAATTTATATGTTGAACTTCTTTCGCACCGTACGTGGCCAACCGTGCTGATCGGAGGTGCGCTGGAGGCGGGTGGGGGTGTAAGGAAAAGGCAACGAAGCAGTCCTAAAGGAGCGAGTTCGTCAATCTAGAAACGATTATAATAGCGGCAGTGGCTTCCTGAGAATCGTGGTGGGGGGTTAACCCCGTGCGAAGTTATTGGGGTGGCTGGGCTGTCGAGGCAGCCGGTGTCCCTTAATCCACGGTTTACAGACATCGGTGTTGGTGGTGCGGTGAGGGTGGTGGTGGTGGTGATGATTGTGGGGGTGGTGGTGGTGCTGGTGGTAGTGGTGGGGGTGGTGATGATGGTGATGGTGGTGGCAACGTTGCACAACGTTCGGTTGGTTTATCTCGACATGACGTGTGTGTGTGTGTACTCTGGGCTATAGACAGGACTTGTGTGTGTGTACTCTGGGCTATAGACAGGATTTGTGTGTGTGTGTGTGTACTCTGGGCTGCAGACAGGACTTGTGTGTACTCTGGGCTATAGACAGGACTTGTGTGTGTGTGTGTGTACTCTGGGCTATAGGCAGGACGTGTGTGTGTGTGTGTGTACTCTGGGCTATAGACAGGACTTGTGTGTGTGTGTGTGTACTCTGGGCTATAGACAGGACTTGTGTGTGTGTGTACTCTGGGCTATAGACAGGACTTGTGTGTGTGTGTGTACTCTGGGCTATAGACAGGACTTGTGTGTGTACTCTGGGCCATAGACAGGACTTGTGTGTGTGTGTGTACTCTGGGCTATAGACAGGACTTGTGTGTGTGTGTGTACTCTGGGCTATAGACAGGATTTGTGTGTGTGTGTGTACTCTGGGCTATAGACAGGATTTGTGTGTGTGTGTGTACTCTGGGAGAGGGGAGGAAGCAATGGGAGATGAGGGGGGAGGAGGGGGAGTACACAGGTGAACTTTATATTTATTTTGCCTTTTTATCGACGTCAATAAAAGTTGTTTCCCAATCCCACCGCGGTTTCGTTTCCGATACAAACACACAAACACCCCAACACACACACACCCCAACACACGCACCCCAACACACACGCACCCCAACATACACGCACCCAACACACACACACCCCAACATACACACCCCACCACATCACACCACACCCCAACGTACACACCACCTAATACACATACCCCAACATACACACACCCTAATACACACTCCAATATACACACACCCCAAGACACACACCCCAACATACACCACCCAATACACACACCCCAACATGCACCACCCAATACACACACCCCAACATACACCACCCAATACACACACCCCAATATACACACACACCCCAATACACACCCCAATATACACACACACCCCAATACACACACCCCAATATACACACACACCCCAATACACACACCCCAACATACACACACCCCAATATACAAATACCAACATACACACACCCCAATACACACACCCCAACATACACCCCAACACACACCACCCAATACACACACCCCAAAACACCCCCCAATATACACACCCCCCATACACCACCCAATATACACCCCCCCATATACACACCCCAACATACACATACCCCAACATACACACCCCAATACACACACCCCAATACACACACCCCAATATACACCCCAACATACACCACCCAATACATACCCCAATACACCACCCCCATACACACACCCAATACACACCCCCCCAATACACCCCCCCCCCCCCAATATACACCCCAATATACACACCCCCAATATACACCCCAATATACACCCCAATATACTCCCCAATACACACTCCAATACACACCCCAATACACCCCCCAATATACACCCCAAAATACACCCCGAAAATACACCCCAATATATACACACACGCCAGTCGTTTATCCCGTGTTGAGTTTTGACAACAATAATAATAATAGCTCTTGACCGGCTGGTAACTAACCAACAACTCACGACTAGCTCGTCTAATCAATTCCACGATCGCCTGCAGTCGTGACGAGACGAGAAATTAAGAAGACAACCCTGTCCCAAGGACTGACTTTGCGACGTTGGGGAAATACTCAAAATAAAATACAACGGACATTTTGCTTTTCGTAAACTGACAACCACCAACATACCACACTCGCCCCTCACGTTCGCTCGCTCATTCATCGAATGTCGTTCGCTCATTCATTCAATGTCGTTCGCTCATTCATTCAATGTCGTTGACTCATTCATCGAATGTCGTTCACTCATTCATTCAATGTCGTTGACTCATTCATCGAATGTCATTCACTCATTCATTCAATGTCGTTCGCTCATTCATCGAATGTCATTCGCTCATTCATCGAATGTCGTTCACTCATTCATTCAATGTCGTTCGCTCATTCATCGAATGTCATTCAGTCATTCATTCAATGTCGTTCGCTCATTCATCGAATGTCGTTCGCTCATTCATTCAATGTCGTTCGCTCATTCATCGAATGTCATTCGCTCATTCATCGAATGTCGTTCACTCATTCATCGAATGTCATTCACTCATTCATTCAATGTCGTTCGCTCATTCATCGAATGTCGTTCGCTCATTCATTCAATGTCATTCGCTCATTCATCGAATGTCGTTCACTCATTCATCGAATGTCGTTCACTCATTCATTCAATGTCGTTCGCTCATTCATCGAATGTCATTCACTCATTCATTCAATGTCGTTCGCTCATTCATCGAATGTCGTTCGCTCATTCATTCAATGTCGTTCGCTCATTCATCGAATGTCATTCGCTCATTCATCGAATGTCGTTCACTCATTCATCGAATGTCATTCACTCATTCATTCAATGTCGTTCGCTCATTCATCGAATGTCGTTCGCTCATTCATTCAATGTCGTTCGCTCATTCATCGAATGTCATTCGCTCATTCATCGAATGTCGTTCACTCATTCATCGAATGTCATTCACTCATTCATCGAATGTCGTTCACTCATTCATCGAATGTCGTTCACTCATTCATTCAATGTCGTTCGCTCATTCATCGAATGTCGTTCGCTCATTCATTCAATGTCGTTCGCTCATTCATCGAATGTCGTTGACTCATTCATCGAATGTCATTCACTCATTCATTCAATGTCGTTCGCTCATTCATCGAATGTCGTTCGCTCATTTATCGAATGTCGTTCGCTCATTTATCGAATGTCGTTTGCTCATTCATTCATTCAATGTCGTTGACTCATTCGAATGTCGTTCGCTCATTCATTCAATGTCGTTCGCTCATTCATCGAATGTCATTCGCTCATTCATCGAATGTCGTTTGCTCATTCATCGAATGTCGTTGACTCATTCATCGAATGTCGTTCGCTCATTCATTCAATGTCGTTCGCTCATTCATTCAATGTCGCTGGCTCATTCATCGAATATCATTCATTCATCTAATGCCATTCACTCATTCGTTGAATGTCGTTCACTAACTAAAGCCAAACTCCTACCCTGAGTTGTCGCGTCTGAAGCGACACAGGCACCTGGGGCAGAGCTGTGAAGACAGCTAAGGTAGCAGAGGTGGGGGGGGGTCCTCGTTCTCCTGGTGTCCACCAAGTGATGTCCACCAAGTGATGTCCACCATCCCGTCGTGTCCACCAAACCCCCCACACTTTGGGCTTCACCAAGACCCTGAAGTCCACCAGACCCTTCCCCGGTGCCGTCCAAATTGTGTAGTCCTCCAGACTCTCATGAAGTCCACCAGGACCCGCGTGCTCCACCAGACCCTCAAGTCCACCAGACCCCGGCGGTTTCCATCGGACCCAGCAGCAGCAGCAGCAGTGTCCACCACCGGACCTGCAGCGTTGTCCACCACCAGATCCAGGCAACGTCCACCACCAGGCCCAGAAATTGTCCACCACCAGGCCCAGAAATTGTCCACCGGGTCCCTGGCATTGTCCACCAGTGGAGCCGCGGCATTGTTCACCACGAGACCCAGGCAGCGTCCACCACCACACCCAGACAAATGTCCACCACCGGATCCCTGGCGTCGTCCACCGGAAGGGCCAGGCAGCGTCCACCACCACCACCACCACACCCAGACAAATGTCCACCACCGGATCCCTGTCGTCGTCCATCGGCGGACCCAGGCAGCGTCCACCACCACCACCACCAGCACCACCAGCACCACCACCACCACCACCACCACCACACCCAAACAAATGTCCACCACTCGATCCCTGGCGTCCACCGGCAGGGCCAGGCAGCGAGCACCACCACCACCACCAGCACCACCAGCACCACCACCACCAGCACCACCACCACCACCACACCCAAACAAATGTCCACCACCGGATCCCTGCCGTGGTCCACGGGCGGCGGGGAGGGCGCTACGAGTCTGGCGTGCCGATGTCGACGGTGATGTTGGTGTAGAGCTCCTCGTGCGACTTGTGCAACAGGGTGTAGGAGCACGAGTTGAGGCCGTCGAGGGGCAGTAGGCGAGCCGAGTCACGAAGCAGCTTCATCCTGGACAACCCGGGGTAGGTAGGCGGGGCGGGGGAGAGATGTGGTGAGCACGAGGCGAGGGGAGAGGGACAGAGACACCGGGAATCGTGGAGACGGGGACGCACACGTGGACACGTGGACACACACACACGTGGACACACACACACGTGGACACACACACGTGGACACACACACACGTGGACATACACACACACGTGGACATACACACACACGTGGACACACACACACGTGGACACACACACACACACGTGGACACACACACACGTGAACACACACACACACACACGTGGAAACACACACACACACACACACGTGGACACACACACACACGTGGACACACACACACGTGGACACACACACGTGGACACACACACACGTGAACACAAACACACACACGTGGACACACACACGTGAACACACACACACACACACGTGAACACACACACACACGTGAACACACACACGTGGACACTAGCACAACGCGCTGACTCTGAGGAATTCTCATCGCGCCCTTTTGCCCCGGGGCAGGGAGTGCGGGGTTCACCACCCTGCTGGGGTCGTGGGGCGTGCGGGTTACCGGGTGGGTGGGTGGGTGAGTGGGTGGGTGAGTGGGTGGGTGAGTGGGTGGGTGAGTGGGTGAGTGGGTGGGTGAGTGAGTGAGTAGTTGAGTGAGTGGGTGAGTGAGTAGTTGAGTGAGTGGGTGGGTGGGTGAGTGGGTGGGTGGGTGAGTGGGTGGGTGAGTGGGTGGGTGAGTGGGTGGGTGGGTGAGTGAGTGAGTAGTTGAGTGAGTGGGTGAGTGAGTGAGTAGTTGAGTGAGTGGGTGGGTGAGTGGGTGGGTGGGTGAGTGGGTGGGTGAGTGGGTGGGTGGGTGAGTGGGTGGGTGGGTGAGTAGGTGAGTGAGTGGGTGGGTAGTGGGTGAGTTAGTGAGTGGGTGAGTTAGTGAGTGGGTGAGTGGTTGAGTGGGTGAGTAGGTGAGTGAGCAGTTGAGTGAGTGGGTGAGTGGGTGGGTGAGTGAGTGTGTGAGTGGGTGGGTGAGTAGGCGAGTGAGTGGGTGGGTGGGTGAGTGGGTGAGTGAGTGGGTAAGTGAGTGGGTGATTGAGTAGGCGGGTGAGTGGGTGGTTGAGCGGGCGAGCGGGTGAGTGGGCGAGTGCACGGCTGGGTGAGCGAGTGTGTGAGTGGGTTGGTGAGCGGGTGAGTGAGTGTGTGATTGAGTAGGCGGGTGAGTGGGTGGGTGGGTGAGTGAGTGGGTGAGTGAGTGGGTGATTGAGTAGGCGGGTGAGTGGGTGGATGAGCGGGCGAGCGGGTGAGTGGGCGAGTGCGCGGCTGGGTGAGCGAGTGTGTGAGTGGGTTGGTGAGCGGGTGAGTGAGTGGGTGAGTGAGTGGGTGATTGAGTAGGCGGGTGAGTGGGTGGGTGGGTGAGTGGGTGAGTGAGTGGGGGAGTGAGTGGGTGATTGAGTAGGCGGGTGAGTGGGTGGATGAGCGGGCGAGCGGGTGAGTGGGCGAGTGCGCGGCTGGGTGAGCGAGTGTGTGAGTGGGTTGGTGAGTGGGTGAGTGAGTGGGTGAGTGAGTGGGTGATTGAGTAGGCGGGTGAGTGGGTGGGTTGGTGAGCGGGTGAGTGGCCGTGCGTGCTGCCTGCACCAGACGCTGTGTAAACCACCGTGTGGGTGCGCCATGCAAGCCGCAAGCAAACAGATAACGTGGTGGTCCGGTGAGTGTGTGGGTGGGTGAGCGGGTGGGTGGGCGAGCGGGTGGGTGGGCGAGTGAGTGAGTGAGTAGATGGGTGAGCGGGTGGGTGGGCGAGTGAGTGGGTGGGTGGGTGAGTGGGTGAGTGAGTGGGTGAGTGAGTGGGTGAGTGAGTGAGTGAGTGGGTGAGTGAGTGGGTGGGTGAGTGGGTGAGTGAGTGGGTGAGTGAGTGAGTGGGTGAGTGAGTGGGTGGGTGAGTGTGTGGGTGGGTGAGTGTGTGGGTGGGTGAGCGAGTGGGTGAGTGAGTGGATGGGTGAGCGGGTGGGTGAGTGTGTGGGTGGGTGAGCGAGTGGGTGAGTGAGTGGATGGGTGAGCGGGTGGGTGGGCGAGTGAGTGAGTGGATGGGTGAGCGGGTGGGTGGGTGAGTGAGTGAGTGGATGGGTGAGTGAGCGGGTAGGTGGGTGAGTAAGTGAGCGGATGAGTGGGCGAGTGAGTGAGTGAGCGGTAAAAGTCTCTGTGTGAGTCTATGAGTCTCTGTGTGAGTCTATGAGTCTCTGTGAGTCTATGAGTCTCTGTGTGAGTCTGTGTGAGTCTATGAGTCTCTGTGTGAGTCTATGAGTCTCTGTGAGTCTACGAGTCTCTGTGTGAGTCTGTGTGAGTCTATGAGTCTCTGTGTGAGTCTATGGTTGCGTGAGTCTACAGTCAGGGAAAAAAGTATTTGATCCCCTGCTGATTTTGTAGGTTTGCCCACTGACAAAGAAATGGTCAGTCTATCATTTTAATGGTAGGTTTATTTGAACAGTGAGTGACAGAATAACAACAAAAACATCCAGAAAAACGTCAAAAAATTTATAAATTGATTTGCTTTTTAATGAGGGAAATAAGTATTTGACCCCCTCTCAATCAGAAAGATTTCTGGCTCCCAGGTGTCTTTTATACAGGTAACGAGCTGAGATTAGGAGCACACTCTTAAAGGGAGTGCTCCTAATCTCAGGTTGTTACTTGTGTAAAAGACACCTGTCCACAGAAGCAATCAATCAGTCAATCAGATTCCAAACTCTCCACCATGGCCAAGACCAAAGAGCTCTCCAAGGATGTCAGGGACAAGATTGTAGACCTACACAAGGCTGGAATGGGCTACAAGACCATTGCCAAGCAGCTTGGTGAGAAGGTGACAACAGTTGGTGCGATTATTCGCAAATGGAAGAAACACAAAAGAACTGTCAATCTCCCTCGGCCTGGGGCTCCATGCAAGATCTCACCTCGTGGAGTTGCAATGATCATGAGAACGGTGAGGAATCAGCCCAGGACTACACGGGAGGATCTTGTCAATGATCTCAAGGCAGCTGGGACCATAGTCACCAAGAAAACAATTGGTAACACACTACGCCGTGAAGGACTGAAATCCTGCAGCGCCCGCACGGTCCCCCTGCTCAAGAAAGCACATATACATGCCCGTCTGAAGTTTGCCAATGAACATCTGAATGATTCAGAGGACAACTGGGTGAAAGTGCTGTGGTCAGATGAGACCAAAATGGAGCTCTTTGGCATCAACTCAACTCGCCGTGTTTGGAGGAGGAGGAATGCTGCCTATGACCCCAAGAACACCATCCCCACCGTCAAACATGGAGGTGGAAACATTATGCTTTGGGGGTGTTTTTCTTGCAAGGGGACAGGACAACTTCACTGCATCAAAGGGACGATGGACAGGGCCATGTACCGTCAATTATTGGGTGAGAACCTCCTTCCCTCAGCCAGGGCATTGAAAATGGGTCGTGGATGGGTATTCCAGCATGAACAATGACCCAAAACACACGGCCAAGGCAACAAAGGAGTGGCTCAAGAAGAAGCACATTAAGGTCCTGGAGTGGCCTAGCCAGTCTCCAGACCTTAATCCCATAGAAAATCTGTGGAGAGAGCTGAAGGTTCGAGTTGCCAAACGTCAGCCTCGAAACCTTAATGACTTGGAGAAGATCTGCAAAGAGGAGTGGGACAAAATCCCTCCTGAGATGTGTGCAAACCTGGTGGCCAACTACAAGAAACGTCTGACCTCTGTGATTGCCAACAAGGGTTTTGCCAACAAGTACTAAGTCATGTCTTGCAGAGGGGGTCAAATACTTATTTCCCTCATTAAAATGCAAATCAATTTATAACATTTTTGACATGCGTTTTTCTGGATTTTGTTGTTGTTATTCTGTCTCTCACTGATCAAATAAACCTACCATTAAAATTATAGACTGATAATTTCTTTGTCAGTGGGCAAACGTACAAAATCAGCAGGGGATCAAATACTTTTTCCCTCACTGTATGAGTCTTTGTGTGAGTCTATGAGACTCTGTGTGAGTCTATGAGTCTCTGTGTGAGTCTATGAGTCTCGTGCGAGTCTATGGCTGTGTGAGTCTGAGTCTCTGTGTAAATCTATGGTTGTGTGAGTCTATGAGTCTCTGTGTGAGTCTATGAGTCTTTGTGTGAGTCTATGGCTGTATGAGTCTATGAGTCTCTGTGTGAGCATATGGCTGTGTGAGTCTATGAGTCTCTGTGTGAGTCTATGAGTCTCTGTATAAGTCTATGAGTCTCTGTGTGAGTCTATGAGTCTGTGAGTCTGAGTCTCTGTGTGAGTCTAGGAGTCTCTGTATGAGTTTATGGCTGTGTGAGTCTATGAGTCTCTGTGGTGTGAGTCTATGCATCTCTGTGTGAGTCTCTGTGGTGTGAGTCTATGAGTCTCTGTGTGAGTCTATGAGTCTCTGTGTGAGTCTCGATGTGAGTCTATGAGTCTCTGTGTGAGTCAATGAGTCTCTGTGTGAGTCTATGAGTCTCTGTGTGAGTCTCTGTGTGCGTCTATGTCTCTGTGTGAGTCTATAAGTATCTGTGTGAGTCTATGAGTCTCTGTGTGAGTCTCTGTGTGAGTCTATGAGTCTCTATGTGAGTCTATGAATCTCTGTGTTAGTCTATGAGTCTCTTTGTGAGTCTATGAGTCTATGTGTGAGTCTATGAGTCTCTGTGTGAGTCTATGAGTCTCTGTGTGAGTCTCGATGTGAGTCTATGAGTCTCTGTGTGAGTCTATGTGTGAGTCAATGAGTCTCTGTGTGAGTCTCTGTGTGCGTCTATGTCTCTGTGTGAGTCTATAAGACTCTGTGTGAGTCTATGAGTCTCTGTGTGAGCATATGGCTGTGTGAGTCTATGGCTGTGTGAGTCTATGAGTCTCTGTGTGAGTCTATGAGTCTCTGTGTGAGTCTATGGGTCTCTGTGTGAGTTTATGGCTCTGTGAGTCTATGAGTCTCTGTGTGAGTCTGAATCTCTGTGTGAGTCTATGAGTC